TCCGTTTTGGCGAAAGGAATAGGCTCCCTGACTCCATATGCGGTTAGGAGTCATGTGGAGTCTGCTGTTTCTGCCTTGTTCTAATGTCCTAGGAATATTGAGAACTATAGGAAATATAAGAACATTAGGAGCATAGGAACAATGGGAGCTAAACAATCAATGGGGAAAGAGCGTTTCTGGAATGGTAGAATGGGCTGGAATGGGCCGGAATGGGCTGATCCGGAGTGACGAAACATTCCCAAAAGTTTCATGACTGTATGCCATGAAACTACAAACATAGAGCAATTTTGGTTGTCGCTCTGTAGACATACATACATACAGGCATTTTATTTTTTACGAGACCTTTTCCTTTACAGTCAAGGAAATAGAAGTTCTCACTCAGCGCCAATGTGGCCCATTCCATAAGCCTCTCAAAAAAGGAGAGGTATTCCGTACCATAATGGTACGGAATGGGCCATTCCGTCTCATTCCAGCTCATTCCGCTTTTTTCCCCTTGGATAAAACACGATTCAACCATTAGGCAAACGAAGCAAAACGGCGTCCCAAGAAAGTTAGCACAATTTTAATCCTCCCGACTCCCCAAGTGCAGGCATGTATCGCACATGTTCATTAGATCCGCCATGGCTGATAACCTATAGCAAAATGTCAACAAATTAGTGAACGCTCAAAGAGTTTTTAAGAAAAACGCATTTAACAGAATCACAACTTATTTTGCGTTTTTCTTACGACTACGTTTTACCTGCAGGCCTTTTCGCCACGTGCAGGAATTCTCGATGACGGTACATCGGAGAAAGGAAATTAAAACCACGAACAGTTGCAAGTAGCGTCAAAAAAAAGATTTCGGTATCACACTTTGACATGATTAACATTCCCTGAAAGTTTGGTTCACATCAGATCTACCTGGACTGAAACAGATTTCTGACCCTGGCGAGAGCTTAAATTTTAGATCTAAACATAGTTTATTTGATTCAACAAAGCGGGCGGGTCCATTACATGTTGAGAACAGCGGAAAAGAAAAGTTGATTATCACAGTTGAATCGTGTTTTATCGCTAACTTGATACAAGTTAAATAAAATTACTAATCCAACAGAATGTTTACACGAATATACTAATAATGGTACAACAAGTCAACAGGATTGTTACTACACGGAAAACTATTGAATGTAACATTGGTTAGATATTTATCTATCTCGTGGGTGGGTTACATTCAATGGTTTTCTGGTGTAGTAACAATCCTGTTGGCTTGTTGTACCATTATTAGTATATTCGTGTAAACATTCTGTTAGATTAGTAATTTTATTTAACTTGTGTCAAGTTAGCGATAAAACACGCATTCAACCATTAGGCAAACGAAAAGCAAAAGGGCGTCCCAAGTAAGTTAGCACAGCTTTATTATTCATTTGGTTAAAATCTCAATGAATATGTTCGTGTTGTACATTATACTTTGTTGAGAAATAAAAATGTAAGATGCATGCTGAAAAAAATTTGGTAACCAAAAGTATCTTTTTGTGGTTATCATTTGCATCTAAAGACTTTGGTGATCAAAAGTATCTTTTTTCGATGATCAAAAAAATTGATACCCAATAAAATATAAAAAACCTGGCGAGAATAAGCTCTGTTGTAAATGATCTTTGTATGTATGTGGATTCTGTAACTCATAAATTTGCTCTCTCAGAACTTTTCCAACAAGATTGTGGAGACTTTGTCATATCATTACGATCAGATTTTTGTTTCTATAAAAGGTAGATTAGAATCACTGCTCAGTTTATAAGTTACATTTGCCGCTGAAGATAAAAGTGGTTGTTGATGTTTTTCATTATTGCTAATGAATTGTTTCTGTTTAACTAAATTGAAAGAAGTTTATTTTAGTGATTTTCAGGAGCATTGAGTAAATCAAAAAGATTTACAATAACATTTCTACACAAATGTATTGATATGCTCTGTAGATGAACATAGAACCCACAGGATCTTTTTTTTCCTATTTATAGAGTTATAACGCTATACAACATGCTTTTTCTTAAATTATGGTATTACAACGCTATAGATTTATCTCATTACAACGCAATAGACGTAGCCCATCGTGTTATAACGCGTTACAAAGTTATTTTTCAGGACTTTATGGCGTTGTAACTAGATAAAAATTTCCTTTACATTACAACTCTATAAATTCATAGCATTATAATGCGTTAGAAATTAATGGGTTATAATACCTTAGATGTTTTTTCTAATTATAATACCATAAATTTGGAAAATTTTTTTATAGTGTTATAACTTCTTAGATAATGCATATCGTATTGTAACGAGTTAATATCTAATAGATTACAATGTATTATTCTTTTCTATCTCGTTGAAATGAGATAAGGAAATGGAACTCGGTGTAATACAAACACAATAGTATTAATGCGTTATAACGAATGAAAGTCGTTGATAAAAATGCATTATAACACTATAATTTCAATTTTTTGGCAGCTTTTTTCACGTAATACGTTTACAAGGCCTTAAAGGCCTATTTTTTCTAAAGTTATCGCGTTGTAACACAATAGAAAACCTAACACATTACAAGGCATTACAATATGCCTAACGCATTATAATGTAATAAGTAGCAAAAGAAGGTCCTGTGGGAACGCAATCCACTAACTATAGCAGTAAACAATGTTGAATATCGAATATTTAATATATACTTTAGATATACTCACTTGTTTTATTACGAGTGGAATGTAATAAATTTAAGCATGGTATGTATTGTTGAATATTTTTATTTCTCATTACGTATATGAAAGAGTTCCATCTAAAACAATAACTTTTATTCATAAACTGCTCTAACTTAAAATATCATGCCATTACATACACAAGACTTGTTTTAGCGAATATGGCAGGCGTTGTGCCGACGATTGGCGGTATCAGTTTTGGATTAATAAAAGCTCCAACAAACACCACACATGCATAAGGTGACCATGCCAGAAGAAAACCACCTAAATATTGTAAAAAGATATTTTCAAAGATAGTGTAAAATCAGTTATTTATGACTAAACAATACCTATAATAAAGATGACAGTTTTTGCAACTTCATGTTCTACTTTTAATTTTCGTTTTGTATTCGCATCACGTTTATTCCACAAGAAATTTTCTCGATTATGATTACGTACCTATAAACAAAAACATAAACCTAATGTAGAAAATTATCAATCAATTATCAACCTACTATTTACAAGTAGATAAACTTTCACATTAACCACAATCATGATAATAACTGGTACTAAATAAACAGTGACAAGTATTGTCATATTATAACTGGTGACGTTTAGTGATTGTTCTTCCCACTTTATACTGCATGAAACACCCGTACCTAAAACCAAATAAACTAAATAGCATTAACGACATAACGAAAAAACTGTCAACATTTTTCATACCTTCATAATCGTAGTAGGACCAACCGACAACTGGTAGTAATGTCCAAAACAATGCCAATGAATAAGCACAAATTATTCCTATATAAGCCATTTTTAATGATATTTTTTTTTTAGACATTGGTTTAAAGATGAGATATCTAAATTGTTTGTTATATAAAATAATTGTGACTAATTGTGTATTTTGTAGACTATTGTCTTTACCCACCTTTCCACTGATATCAGACAAAGCATGTACATATTGGAACATCCAGCAAAATAGGCTATGATGCACTCTGCCACACATCCTACATAGCTAAATAACCATCTGAAAAGAAAGCAAATTTATTGAGCATGGCACCGGACACTATATATGTTTGTTTGAGTAAAAATCGTACTTGCATGCTATCAATGAAAAACTCGGTAATGGAATTTCAAATAATGAACCCAAAAAGTCGGCTGCAATCAAACCACCGATAAGAACATTCGTAGGTGATTCTCGTAATTTTTTGTGTTTAAAAAAAATGTATAAAACAAAACCATTTAAAATTGTACCAGCTATCCACAATAGGAATAAATAATAGCCTAACATTTGAAGAATTGTACATGGCTCAAGATAATCTGATACAACTGTTTCAATAATGTATAGATCACTGAAGTTTTGTAACGCTATATTAATATCATTCATTTTTATTCATCTCAATATTTAAATCTAAAATTGATACATTGAATAACAACATAATGAAAAAGATAATATTACACTTCATTAGCACATCCTGTACTATAATACCAATTTTTCGTGACATTTATCACATTTTCATCTTCACTCATCTGTATTTGAATGTGTGTTTCTATTTCTCTTGTCATTTTAATATTCATTTACTTAACTTCACTAACTTACGGCTAGTATTAGTTTATGATTATCCAGTTCTAAAACATCGTATGAAAGCTTTTCCCCTCCAAACTTATCAGTCAAGGATAGAATGTGACTTGAACAGTCTTTATTGTCTAATCTCCATAATTAAAATAAGTAGTTGAATTGGATGCGAACTTCTACATACTACTTAGGCTCACCTAAGCTTTTCATTTTCATGTCGAATCATGAAGAAAACTAGTGTGTAAAGTAGACGGAAAAAAACACTTTCTTGCTATAGAGAAAGAGAAAATTTGCTGTCAGGGATTTCTATAGTTAAAGTTCTTTGAGAGTATCCGTTTTTTACAAAATACCATCTCAAATTGATGAATGAAGTGAGAACATATAAAAACTAAGGTATTTTTAGGATACTTCTAGTGTTTTTATTAAAACTGAGATCAAACAGATCTGATATGTATATACTTACTATACCGAAATGGAGCAATGCTTTACTTTTCATTTAATTTCAGAAAAGAGTTGTATATCCATATTCTATACTAATCAGCGGTTACTATTAAAAGACAGAGAGCCTTTTTACCCATCATGACATAAAAGTAGTAATTTTAATTCTACTAGAACTCAGATTCTTTTTTTTGTTTCGTATTGCAGATGCTTGATAATAATGATTCTGGAATATAATACACTTCTATAAAAAGGCTTTAATTTTAATGTAAAAATAAGGCGTACGCTGATGAGTACTTTTTGACACCTTTTAATTGACAATGACAACTCCCATTTTCTATCTATTTCTTCTTTCTATAATATACACTTCTGTAGAAGTTATCCAAATATAAGAAGCACTATTCATTTTTTATGGAAAATGAAAAGAGAGGAATTACGCGTCAATTCTGGTCGATTGTTGATCAAAGAGTCATTAGTTCTTAGAGCCTATGAACTATCTTTGAATACCACAATACATCCAGTGTCGTCAATGATTATTTATTTAGACGGCTTTCCTAGAAAATAAATTTTTTTTTTGTATATAAACTTTTTTTTATTCTAATGCAGAACAAATCGAGACAATTGTCACATTACATGTTCATAGTTTGCTTTGATACGTGACTAAGAAATCTCAAGTCTATATCGTTACTGTAAAGATGTGGGGGAGAAAAATATATACGAGGGAGAGGAACAAAAATAAGTATAAAATTATTTGTAAAAAAAAATGATGGAAACTGCTGTTATTTCTCTGTTCTTTTCGTCTACTATTTGCTTGGAATTTTTATAAACAAACTATTCAGTATTAGTATTATTATAAATCATTCATTTGTAGAGAAAATTAATTATCTACTCTTATGGTTAAACATATTATCTATATATAAATATAAAAGATCTTAAGAGTTTAACAGGTTTAATATCCGTTATATAATGAAGGAAAAGCAGAACGTCCGAAACAGAAAAAGAGACAAAAATAAGTATATAGAATAATTATTTGTAAAAAAAATGATGAAAACTGCTATTATTTTCTCGTATCACCGATAAAAAAAAATTAAAGTTTGTTTAGAGTTAAAGAAAAGTGCTTTTTCGTATTCAGCACACTTGATAACCTCGAAAATTTTCTATTTTTAGCAAGAGATACCGTCAAAAAGTTAAGAAAAATTTGCAAACAAATTGATGCAGAAAAATCCCCATGGCAAAATTATATAATTTTAAAAATTTTTCTTAACTTTTTGGCGGTATCCTTCGCTAAAAATAGAAAATTTTCCAGGTTATCAAGTGTGCTGAATACGAAAAAGTACTTTTCTTTAACTCTAAATGAACTAAAATTTTTTTTCGGTGATATGCTGTTATTTTTATCTACTATTTGCTTGAAATTTTTATAAACAAACCATTCAATTGAATCATTTTTTAAGGTGAAAAGTTTCAAAATAGATAATAAGATATAAACCACCTTTATCATAATGAAAAATATCGCTATTTTCTGTTAGAGACGTTTCGTCTTTATTCAAAAGACAGCATCAGTCAAATGTAACACTCGATCTTCAGAATCAACTATCGAGTGTCCCATTTGACTGATGATGTCTTTTGAATAAAAACCATTCAATATTTGTATTATTATAAATCATTCATATGTACGTGTTCATCGTTATTATTTCTGCTCATTCAACAATAATACATCCTGTTTATTGTTAATATTTTAATATTTCAGTCTCTCTGATTAAAAGCAAAAATGTATTATATACTTTTTTTCCTCACTTTAAGTATTTCATCTGGCGAATCACACTGGCTGATTCAGTTAATAATGCGGTGCAAGTTTCAACATTTCTGTCTTGACACCATGCCGTCTCTTGTCACAACAACAAGAAACGTAACGTCAGATTTTTCCTTCTTATGTCAAGACTCGGCTATTTTATTTTATATTTTATTATAATGAATATTAAGGAAACACCCATTGGTTAGATTGACAAATATCGACCAGAAAAGGTTTCGCATTATCGGCGTCATAGATAGACAAACATCGACATTTACGATCTTTAGTATTTAGGGACCAGGATCATTTCTCTTATAAAAGGTAACTTGGAACCTCATTTTTTCAAGGGATATACAGCAAAAAGAAAAGTCTTTCTTGTGATATGGTTGTGAAACTCCAAGTCGCTTTGTGTACTCATAGAAGACTGCTAAAAAAACGACTTTTAGTTTTTTTACAGATGCTAAAAGAACCAAAACAAAAGGAAAAGTCAAACCTAAATAGTGGATTAGAATGGTCTTTCTACATCGTATTTGATGGTGTGCAAATCAACCGTAATAGGTTTTAAGTAAAAGTATAATAATCTGAATTTAGAATGGGATTCTAGCCTTTTTTGCAACTCTGGCATCGTTTTTCTCGACAAAATCGAATTCGCATGAACTCTGACATTTTTTTCCACTATCTTAACCGTTAGAACTGCCAAAGCGCACAAGAATTAGTTTTGTCCATGGAGTTTCTAAAATGACCAAATTCCGGAAGAAACACGATCAATTTTCATTCACGTCGTACCAGCCTTGAAACAGATTCATTGGATACTGTATAGTTCGATTCTTTGATTATCTACAATGTCCTCTTATATATACTGGAGAAGATAGCTTTCACACAAACATTGAAAATCCCGTGCATTTGAACAAGATGGTTCCAACGAGACAGATATTTACTTTATGGTTTCAATAAGAGATAGATCAAGATTAAATCAAATCGATTCTTTTTTTAATAAATTTTCTTTGAATTCGTTTCCTCTAGCAATTTTTTAAATCAGTAAACAGCCACGGCTATAAGGTTACAAAAACCTTTAAATTTGAAGAGAAACGGTTCAAAATTCAATGGGATTCTGAACCAAAAAATAAACGACCTGATGGTTTTTCTAACCAGTAAAAATTTCCTTATATATGGCAACCAGTATTACCAATAGCAATAAAAAGATATTCATTTTTCCAACAAGAAAGCGTTTCGGTTAAAATGTTTATTAGAGCGACAGAAGTTTTTGTTTATTTATACTGAGATTCATTCTGTTTACACAAATAAAATGATATATTGCTAAAATAAGTTACAAGTAAATACGTTTAATCGTCATCATCTTCATCCTCATCCATTTGTATGCCTGAACGTACGTAACCTTTATTTTGTAAACTTTGCATTAATTCTTTCACTTTTTCCGGCGAATCGACATAATGGTGTTTTACTTTAATTTTATCAAATCCGCGAATTAAATTTATCGATTTATCACTTTGTTTAACAGCTTGTTTTATCGTATTCCGCTTTAGTGTTGGATGAATTTTTGATGTATCATCAAGCATTCGTTGAGAAATGTGTCCGTTGCCAACTTGTGTTGTTGTATGTTCCATTACTGGTTCGGGCGGTGGAGGTGGCACAAGATGAGATCCATCATAATAAACAGGATGAGGAATCATAGGAGGTGGATATGCATATGGATAATAGTAAACTGGTGGAGGATTAATAAGTATTTGTGGTTTGTCAGTCTGAATATAATGATGAGAAACACGCCGACCACTGTCGGGCTGTTTAGGCGAAACCTCACGATTATCTTCAACCAAACGTCCTCTACTACGTTGATAATGTTTTTCGGCCGTGCCACCAACTTCCCATTTTAAATTGAAGACAGATTTGTCAGAGTTTGTTAAAAATGATTTTTTATTTGTTCTAGGCGAATAATGTTCAGCATTAGATACTTGTTTGATTTTGTTACTTTTAATTTTATCATCTGGAACAGCAACTATATACGTTCGACCCTGTTGAATTAAAATCGTATATGTAAATGTTCTCGTAAACGTAATCTATATAGCCTAGTAAGGAGCCTTATAATACTACTTTATTTCGACAAACCAACTATCTGTGAGAGCCTTATCTTGAGAGATTGACATAAGACTCCAATATATACGTGTCGTACAGTCTTCAAACAGTATGCCTAAGAACGGGCGAAAAAATTAAAATGGCAATGGAATGAAAATTATTTGTTATCTCCAAGTCTTACCGTTTAAGAGTTTTCCAGAGACCAAAGTCAAAAAAGGACCCGAAGTATTTCCCAAGATTTCTTTTTTATACTTCAAGCTAGAGAGTTCGGATTTGTTTTATTTTAAACTAGACACCTAACTACATGGGCTGATCGGCGCCAATTTTTCAATTAAGGCTTTGGTGGTTTCTGGACAACCAACAACCTCAAAAACGTTTTCTGGTTTTCTAGAAATTCTCAGTTCTCAACTAGGACCTAATTGATAAATCGGCGCCAGTCAGCCCATGTATTTTAGGTATCTAGTTTAAAATAAAACAAAGCCGAACTCTCTAACTTGCAGTATATTAGAAAATCTTGGGAAATACTTTAGGTGTAACTCTCATGTAGAGAAAACGCTATATAAAATGCTCAATTTTAGGACTTGTAGGAAAATGCTTCTAACTTTTTTGACGCAAGGTCTTATTTTTGATCAGAAAAGTTTTCTCTACAAATCAACACGTTGAGAAAAAAGTTTAATTACAGAAGTATCCAGGAAAAAGCTATTATCTGAAGGCCCGGTTTTTCGAGGCTCCTAGAAAACTTGCTCGAAAGCCGCGAAAAATCACTTCTATAACCGAAAGTGATACAGATTGTGAAAGTAGACACTTCCCGCTATCTTTCCATGTGCCTATCTCTTGACCAAGAACCATCATTTCTGATGTGAGCGGGAGAGGGGGAGGAGGCGCCTTAAGGAAGTTTGCGATAGATAAGTCGAATAAGACTTTCTATGTTTGAACTTTTACGGTCGCTCTAATCAAGGGAAAAAACTCATTTGTTTTCGAATCGTATTCATCAAGTTAAGTTAGTATCAATTAAACTTCGAACATCTGTGTTAGAGGACAACTGTAAACTGATCTACGCTAGCTGAGAGTCTTCTATAACCCGTGGAACTTTTTAGTTTAGAGAGTCCTCTATTTAAACTCTTCAAGCTTTGAGTTAACTGTACAATATTTGAAGAACATTTCGATACGTGAGAGGGATTGGTTAGACAACATCCGACTATGGTGAATCATATACTAGTAATACTAGTGGGAAGTCTTCCTGATCACTTTTCTCTCAATTGGGCACAGGTACCTGCCTGTTGTCTCGTTAATATTAACTTTACTTGATGAGAATGAATCAAACACAAATGATTTGTTTTCCATTGATTAGAGCGGTCGTAAAAGTCTGACCATAGAAATCTGGCTTACCTATCTGAAACTTCCTTAAACGTACGTAAATTTTGCCATTTTGTAGATTTTCGTCCGTTCTTAGGTGCTTTCAAGTCTGGACGAAAAGACCATCTTGGTCTACATTTCGTTCGAAATGTTGAATATACCTTACTTTTCTCGTTATTGTCATGTTCGAGTATAACAAGAATAACCTGGGCAAGTATCGAACGCAATATCTTTTTATTTTTGATACGATATTAACAATAAAAAGGCGTTCACTTATTGTAGTTGATTTTGCACTATTAACTTATTCTAAAGCGAGAATATTGTAGAAAATTGCATTACAGCTATAATACACTTAAATTTGTATTGACGACTCATTCCTCTTTAAACAAAAGCAAAAAAATAGAAAAGTTCAAAACAACAAAAAAAGAAACAGAAATAAAAGTACTTAGCTATGCTTTGTTGGTTCTCGAAATTTCTGATTATTTATGCAACAAATCGAAAGTTCTTTTATTTTATGTGGATCCTACATTTTACAATCTAGCTTAAAGTACGGATTTCATCCTTTTCTGATCGCGCTAAAATACGCTCTATAATCAATGTTAAGCAGTCTTTGGTCATATTACAGTATAAGTAGGTAGACAAAAAAGTGATGACTTCACCCGCATCCAGTACAATTTTTGTCGATATAGAAAACGGAGAATACTACATGTAGCCAATGTGAATGAGAATAGTGGTTTGGATAAAATAATAATTTATATGAAAGAAAAGGAATTAACGTCTAATGCTCATGAATATAGATAGAATGCATAATATTTCTAAATAAAATAGCCATCGATTATTGTTTCCACTATTACATAGATCATTTGAACAAAAACAATAGACTTTATGCTTTGTTTTTGTTGTTCTTATTGTATGACAACCGGATTTTGTAGTAATTTTAATCGATTGTAAATGTTCTAATTCAGTTTGAGATACACATTTTCGTATTGTGGGTGTACGTTCATCTTTTAATAACTCCTCTTTTGTTCGTGCTTCAATTTTTTCATAGGCTTTCAAACATTTTCCATCACATTCTTCTTCAACATACGATGGTGATAATGCAAATTTTTTAATACATGCATTTTCTTTTGTTTCAACATCTGAATGATGACATTTATAACAACGTCGAGGACGATTTAATGATGAATAAAATTGTTTTGATGGGACAAATTTATGATTTGAAGAATTTGGATAATATAATTGACAACTGATAAATGAGCAAAATGGAACAGTTAATAGTAATAACAAACTCAAGTTCATTTTTCTTTTTTTTAAAGAAGAAACATAATGTCATTGATGCAAGTAGAGAGATGTTCAACACTTTTCTATTTCTCTTTCTTTCGTTCATTAAACAATGTTGTTTACAGTACGTGATCAGATAGACGTACAATTCGTAATCCCTTACTCGATTTTATTGTACATGTTTCTTGAGGGAAGAGAATAGATAGGAGACAACAAAAAAAAATCGTTTATTTGTATTAGAACCAAAAAAGAAAAAATGTAGACTCAATGTAAGTTGTCCAATTGTACCATTCATTATAATTGAAAACATTTTATATCGTAAAAGAAGCGACGCTTACTTATCTTTCATACGTCAATGGCATTTTTAGCGATCGTTATTGTCTACATCTCTAAATTAGAGAATGTTTGTCGATTTTAGATGTTTTCTGTCCACTAAACAATTTATTAAATGCAATTATACATAAATGCATACAAAAAAAACCCGCAAAAATCACAATGTGATGGAATTTACTGTCTGACTGTATTAGATGATCTTGAAACCGGTAGAGGACACAATATGACAGTGTTTTAATTAAAATTGTACAGTATTTTGAGTAAATACTTCATTTAATTGTTGACTAACACGAATGAATGTTGTACGTCTACTCAGTTCTTTTAATTTTGATGCACCAACGTAGGTGCAACAACTTCTTACTCCACCTAGAATATCTTGTGCTGTTGAACTAACATTACCACGATAGGGTACTTCGACAGTTTTGCCTTCGGATGCACGATATTCTGCCACACCACCGCTATGTTTATCCATGGCTGTTTTGGATGACATACCGTAGAACAATTTATATTTTCGTCCATTTCGTTCAATAATCTCACCTGTACCACTTTCATCATGACCTTATAACGAAATAAATTTAAATTTAGTAACAAATAAAATGTTAAATACAGAAAATTACCGGCCAACATGCCGCCAAGCATCACAAAATCTGCACCAGCTCCGAATGCTTTAGCAACATCGCCAGAATTTGTACAACCACCATCCTTTAAAATAAAAAATAAAAAAAATTTCTCTTAAGTACAAAATTGACGATAAAATGAAAACTTACGCTAACAATATGACCGCCTAAACCATGAGCTGAAATAAAATTAAATCTATTTAACTAATAGCTCTAAATAAGAGAAAAACTATCGAACCTGCATCACTACATTCTAATACACATGATAATTGTGGATAACCAACACCTGTTTTCATACGTGTTGTACATACAGAGCCTAACATAATGAAGATGAATCAAAATAAATGTGTAGATATGACAAGTATTTTGTACCTGGTCCAATCCCTACTTTGACTATATCTGCTCCAGATAAAAGTAATTCTTCTACCATTTCACAAGTAACAACATTACCAGCCTAGAAAGAAAAAAAAACAAAAATAATAAATTAGATTTTTGTGTATTTAATTTAAATATATTTTCTTTTTTCAAATTTAAACTAACAAATATTGTTTTATCTGGAAATTCTTTTCGAACAAGACGAACAAATTCTACAAAATGTTCCGAATAACCATTGGCAACATCAACACATATATATTCAATTTTTGGTATTTCTGCAATAATTTCACGTAATTTCTTGAAATCAGCTTCGGTCATACCACAAGATACTGCAACATTCTAAATAGAATTCATTTATTTAAAAAGTCTATTTTAATAATATTATACTAGATATCTTACTTGTAAGACTTCAGGATTTGTTGTAGCAAATGTTTTCCATTGTTCAACAGTATAATGTTTATGAATAGTTGTAAATATTTTTAACTAAAAATAATCTCAGTAATATTAAATGATTTTTCTATTTTCTTATTTTTATACCTTGGCTAATTGACATGCCATTTCAAATGTGCCAACAGTATCCATATTTGATGCAATAATTGGAATACCAGAATATGTCTTTTTACTATTACGGAATATAAATTCACGAGTTAAATCAACCTAAAAAAAAGTGAATAATAAAAATAATAATAAATAATTATTTTATTTTAATTTTTTTGTTCTATATTTTACATCGGCACGACTTTTCAGTGTACTTCGTTTTGGACGAATTAAAACATCCTTGAAATCCAATTTGATTTCATTATCAATTCGTGGCATGTTGCTTCTTTGATCTTAGCTCTAAAAGAAGATTAAAAAAAAATTTGATCTTTTTGTTTTTGTTCTTCAGAGAATATATTTTAAAAAAAAAATAATAGAAATAGCACATCGATCAACAACAATAATAAAAAAAGAAATATCAAAAAAAAAGTTCTTATTTCTTTCAACGTTAAGAGCGTAACTTAGTTTTTATAATACTCTGTTAACATTACCTGCATATATCAACAGTCTACTATTTCAAAAGTAAAACTTACTAATCTATCAAAACAATTTATTTATATCAAAAACATAACATGTTAACAAATAACAACTAGAAAAGAGGATAACAAAATAAATATAGTTCAAAGAGGAGGCCATAATAGTTTAACTTCATTGTGTAACGATTCTGGTATCCAATCACAATAAATATCAAGAAGATCTAAAAATATATATACATCACATACACACACACACACACATGTACATTGTTTAGTCTAATTATTATTTTTTTATCTTCTATTATTTATTACTTACATTTTGTCTCACTTTTCCATACATTTAACAAATTTTTTTTATTATAAATTTTTTTTATAACTAAAGCATTCAATAACATTTCTGTACGTTTCATTAAATTTGCCCACGATTTAACCATGGAATTTGATGAACACAATAATACGGGTTTAAACTTTTCTAATTTTAAACAAATTTGACCATCGAGAAAAAATTTTCCAAACCAACGATAACGATCAATTGTATCAGGATAATCTGTTTCAATTGCTTTTGGTAATGTCCAAGTTAAACGACCTTTACAAAAAAAAGAGATAAAAATAGACACATATCTAATGAATGTGAATGGAATAAGAATCTTAACACATACCAATAGTAGCTTTTCTATGACACATTATTTTATCATTATTAGAATCATAACGTGGTGATGGATCGTCTTCAGGCAGACCAAATTGACAAATATGAGGATTTAATTGAGGAATCCATTCTATATCAATTGAACATAAACCTAGAAAACAGATATATTACATTTCATTTTATTTACTCAAAAATGTTAGATATTCAGTCAATTATTTTGATTATATCAAAAATATCTTTGATTCTCTATGTTGACTTAAAAATTACCTCTCATATACATTCGACTTGTTTCATGTATATCTTGATAGCAAACAAATGATGGCATTTCATTAAGTAAAACCGATGATGGATGAACGAAAACCGATTCTTCGAGAACTAACGTCTAAATTGAATGCAAAGAAGATTGATAAAAGCAATACAGAATTAATAAATAATCCTTATTTTACCTGATACGCATTATAAACTTTTTTACCATTAATTATAATTGGTTGTTCAATTTTTCTGAAAAACAAAAAATGAAATTTAACTATATTTCACTTTACATTGATTATTTTTAGATTTTTTTCTTACTTAGCCAATCGATCAACCATACCGGCTGCCATTATTTTTCTTAAGAGTAAAATTTGTTGATCGTTTGGTGGTGTCATTTTTGCGTCAAGATACAATGCAGAACTCATATCTGGTATAACTGATTTGACTAAACAAGTAGTCAATAAAAAATATTTCAAAACATGTAAATACATAGGAATTTTTTTTCAATTTCTCACCAATATTTGTTAATTGTTTTCGAATTTTTCGTACTTCACTAATGGCTTTAAAACGGATACCGTATCGATCACATACTGTTTGGTCACAATTTGAATATTCCACAGCTCCAACGGCTTTTAGAAGAACCATCACATCACCAAAATATAATGATTCACCTTGTCCAATCCATTGTCGACGATAGTCATCTAGATTAATTTTATTCTCTTGACTTGTCTAAAATGTATTTTTAACTCATAATAATCCAAAGGTCATACGTTAAGTTCTTTTATCGTTCTAATGATATATAAATTATTTACACACTACAAAATAACTTAACTTGTTTTTTATTATTATGTAGCGTCCCGATGAATGCCTGTTAGCATAGATACTTCACTACTGCACGTTTCCCGTCTTCTTATACCATGGAAGAAAAGCATGAAAATTACTCCTTATGTACAGAATACGGACAACAAAATGCCATGATGTACGGATATGTGATAATATAAACATATTATTGTAGTTGGCATAGAGCCACATAATAAAAAGTATTATGTAAGAAAAACACTATCCGATTTGTATATACCTTTGTACCAAATTGCTCAAAACTTTTGAGACTTACAGTGTCTGCGTTAACAGACATTCATCAGGACACTACAATAATAAAAAACATCCCAAGTTCTTCTGATGCTTCGAAACGATTGTTGTAACACTTACGAGGGAACCTCTCGAGGTGATAAAACGCTTTTTGATCGAAATCTAGTGGGTTATAGGTTATCGACCATGCTGATTTCGAATATGGTTATGGGAGCTGCCCTTAACTGTACGAAGATCCGGTTTTCTGGAAAACTAGGTTATCAGAAACTTTAAAAGAAGACCAAAACCTTTCTTAATGAAGCATGATTGTAGACTGCAAGTTTCTGATTAAAATGAGATATCGCCCAGCTCTACACTACCTTTTTTTGCAAAGTTATAGAATTTACAAGAAAA